GCTAAGAAATATCCACCTGCCCAAGGAAGCAGTCATGTGCTGGGATGGCAAATGCAAAAACTCTGAACACAGATTAGCTGTTAGTGCCATGTATGAGGAGATTGTCAAAGTGAGGTTTAAGTGAAGTGTATCCCTTTAAAAAAACAATCTAAAAAGAAAGGAAGGCCAGGTTGGAATGCCTATGTGGCTGAATTTTATTCTATAATCTTCCCAGGAGTGGCAGATAATGGCAGGAAGACCAAGACATGGTCCTGTTCATGAACAAAAGAGGGTCACAAATGCTCGGTATAACCACACAGTGCATTTTATAACCAAGAATGAACAAGCTATGAGAGTGGACTCAATGGACAAAAAACTCTCTTGTAACAACACATTTGACTTTTGGAAAGAAGTAAAAAGCATGACTGCCAGTAAATCATCACTTCTATGTGCAATGGATGGCACCACTGGCCCTAACATTTTGGAGCTTTGGTGTCAGCACTACAGCAGCTTATTTAACTGTGTTTAGAGTGAGTCTTGTATTTTGAATGATGTTGATCATGCAGATGTAATTGTGTCACATGAAGTCATTAAAGCTATTACCAAACTATCTAATAATAAGGCCAGTGAGCTGGATGATGTTTCAGCAGAGCATTTAAAGTTTGCAAGTGTGAGGTTAGCACCACTGCTTTCCATCTGTCTCACAGCTTTCATTGTTCCTTGTTGTTTTACCTGACTGTGTGTGAACTGTTTTGCTAGTCCCTGTATTAAAGATAAAATCGGGAAAGTTGGCAGTTCTGACAATTACAGACCTAAAGCTCTGGCCAGCATAGTGTCAAAAATTATTGAAATAATCCTGCTGGACAGGATCTCACAGTTTAGTAAATCTACAGAAACCAGTTTGAGTTTAAGGCTCTGCTGGGCACAGACGTGTGTGTATGCTCTAAAAGAGATTATTGATGCATCCAAAGCATTCGATAGGGTGAATCACTGAAAATGATTTGAGAAGTTGATTCAGAAAGGTGTTCCCAAATACACTGTGCATATTTTGATTTACTGGTAACAGCAGACAATGCAGATTAAGGGGGAAATGGTGTGTCTGCCCAATTAAGGGTCAGCATTGGGGTCAGACGGGGGGGATTCTGTTCCCAGTTTTATTTAATTTGTATCTAGAGGAACTGTCAACAAAGCTTAAAACGTGTAAAACTGGTTGTGTGACTGGAAATCTGGTTGTGAATCATTTAATGTATGCAAGTGACTTGGTTGTTTTTAGTCCAAGCACCGCTGGTCTCCCGCAGCTACTCAACATCTGTTCATCTTATGGTGTGGAGCATAATATAAAGTATAATGCAACCAAGAGTATGGTCATGATCTGTAGGACCAAAGAAGACAAGCATATGCGATATCCTGACTTTTGCCTGTTGAATGTTGTGTTGACTGTTACAACAAAAATTAAATATCTTGAGCATATCATCACTGCGGACATGACAGATAATGATGGTACAGACAATGTAGGATGCTCTATGCTCAGGCAAATACTTAATTTACTCTTAAGTGTAAGTTTGGCTCTTGTATAAATTATGTAAAATTGTTATTGTTTAAATCATATTGTACACAGCCCACCTCTGGACTAATTATACAAAAGTCAGTTTGCAAAGACTGCAGGTGGCCTACAATGATGCTATGTGGGTGCTATTAAGTAGGCAATGATGGATGAGTGCGACTGTTTGGTACTGCATGAGTGAACACTCTGCAAGCTGTACTAAGACCTATAATGTACAGTTTTATTTGCAGACTGAACAAATCAGACAATGAAATAATAACTCACTCAAGTCACTCACAAATATGAGATTCAGTGCAATACCATATCAGTCCAATATATGGAGACACTGGTATGGTTGTCTTTTAAAAACATAAATGTTTATTGTTTTGTATTGTCAGTGTTGTTGTCTGTTTTAAAAATGGACTATGAGTCTGGCGTAAAGATGAATTGAATTGAACTGCATATCCATATGAAACAAAATAGCCAAGGTTTAACATTTTCTGCACACATAATCCAGACATGAAAGATTTTTGTGGTCTGTAATCAACCACAAAAAACAGGGATATAAACAAAAGGAAGATTTTCTACTCACAATAAATAACAGCAGATGGCCGTGAGGATCAGACTGGTGACAATCACTCTGTAAAAGAGAACAATACAACTGTTATAACATGTAAAGTGGTGTCAGTTGTAACCAGGACAGTTTCGTTGCATTTACAGCCTTAATGTGGCTCATTTAGGTAAAAATCAAATATGAATCAAATCATATGAAGATAAACCATGCTTATTTATTTATTCATGTATTTATTTTTTTAGAAGAAAGAATCTCAGACTCACAGCAAGGATTTATCAATGGTTTACAAATCTGAATTTGTGCATGAAAGCTTATTGGAAGTTTGTCTTAAACCTACTCAGGGATAACAAATTTTCTAAATTAACTGTTATATAGTGTTGAATTTAAAATGTGTATCTTAATTTATTCATAGAGTTTCTATGGCAGCCGCTTTCACTCGTTAGACAGATGCATGGAAAGGTGACGCACAGGCCTCCTCTTTACGCACGCACAGCTTAAATGTTCACACAAATATTAAAGATGCTTTATCGAATTATAAGAAAATAAATAAAAATAACCATGTCTAATGTCTTTCCACGCGATATCATTCGCCCTTAGGAAATGTTGGCGTGGGCGTGCAGGGTAAAATAGATGGTTTTGATGCACCTACCCTCTGTTTGGTCCTTTTGGCACTAAAAACGGAGCCACGACGCCGACCAGGCCCCATAACGTCGTGAAGCAGATCATCGGTAAAGCGAGAGAGTGCGATACCATGATTTTATCTCAAGAAAACAGCAAAAGTGAAGAGAAAATTGCGTTTGTCCTGGAACAAATCTGACGCATCAATGGCCGCTGAGCTCGCTACTCGCATCCGCCGTGGTCCCACCTACCTGCGCAAAAATTGCAGCTGATTGGACAGTTGTTGAGAAATAGAGACCTGCGATTGGTTGACTGGTGTGTCTTTCAGGATTATGGGCAGAGTTGTTGGCCGGAAGATGAAAGGATTCCTACATCTCCATCCTTGATAGGACTCAGATCTGCATCCAATACTTGATGCACTCAGTTTAGGAAAATTAACCAAAGATAGATTTCGGAATAGGCAGTCAACTTCTTTACACTACAATTGAAAGTAATGAAATAAAGAAGTAAAATAGTAAAAAAAAAACTAACAAACAAACAAAAAAACATTAAAAGTTGTAAACTGTATAGCTTGTATAGCTTGTATACAGTTTGGCATATACATACACTCCTGTCAGAAATTAGTTTGTAAATGATTCAATAAATTATGAACCTACTGTGTTATAGCCCGAATGATTATAAATATTCTAATATAAATAGGCCTAAATATTTCTGTTGCTCTGTCTGGTTCAAGTTCCAGGTAAATGGGCCAAACAAAATCCATAATGTTATGTATTTGAACAATACACATAAAGACACATGGACATTGTTGCAAGCAATACTATTATAAATTTGTAAAGAAATAATAAGCAGGCCTATGTATTAGACATAGACAAATTGGTGACAATACAGCGAGTTTTAAATCGCACCACCCCTTTACCCCTACTTTCTAAAAAAAATATAGCTGTTGAAAACCAAAATATACAGATGATTTTATAGTTGCAGATTTGACTGTAGACCAAAGTGCTCCTGGTACGTTGTCTGTAAGCGCTTCTCAGGCCTGAAGCTCATAGACACTGCTCTGAGAGTTTGTACATCAAAACTGGACTTGTAGGTTTGGTTTGAAAGTTCATTTGCAGCCACAAAAAACAGCAGAGGTCTTCCACTCCGGACTTCATGACTGAAAAAACAAATAACATAATAATTAAAGCCCAATGGTTAGGATTTCCACCAAAAAAATAGACAGGTGTATTTAGTAACCTTGAAAAGCATGCCTGCTTGCTTGTCTCCATGGAGCTGTCTATCAAATGATCTAACTCTGTTTTTTACTTTGGTTGAGTTTGTCAGTAAGAATAATGAAAACTGCTATGGTTGTTGGGAAGTTATGCTCTGTTATAGCATTTGACATAAATTATCTTTTCATAGAGCATATTTTGAAAATGTTTATTGTGCAAATAAGGGGAGAAACATTTTGCACTCGAAAACACTTCCTTACCTACGATCCCCTTGTTGAGCAGGGTGCACTCTTCCTAACTGTCCTGGATACAGCCCATGTGTGTCTCTGCCCTGTCGAGACGCTCTATAAGATATCATGTACAAAATAGTTACTTGAGTCAGTGGTCGTTGTACCATAGTTTTCATACCATTCTAGAGATAGACTGATATATTGGTTAGCTGATATTTGCCCATTTAATGTATCATCTATCAGCCTTAAATATGAAGCAGAGGTTATATAGGGTATAGGATATTTTGTTTGGCCCAAACATATACCTAAATATGCATAAATAATATATGCATAAAGCTTTATTTGAGCACCTTATTTCAAAGAGGATACTGCAAAAATGTAAGTACACGTGTCTCATATGTAGTTTGTAGTAACAAAAGGTTGTGGATGAGTTTGTACTAATTTCAGGTTAGATCATTTGGAGGAAATGACCAAAATCAGGCCTACATACCGTGTCTGCCAAAAATATTGGCCATTGTATTTTGGATACTACACAATCAGTATTGCATCGGCCAAAAAACAAAACAAACCAAAAAAAACCAACATAGCTGTCAATCTCTACCAAATACCAACTAAGAGAATAATATTTGGCTTTCTGAATACCACCAGATCCAGACCCAGACTATATTAGGTCAAAATTAGGGTTGAACCAGGTCAACAAAGAGACCAAACAATAGATAATGATAAACCCAAGAGAGGACAAAAATAATATGTGTCAGGTAACAAATACACAAACTGCAGAGGTACCACCAGAAGTATGCACACACACATACCACAGTTTCAGAAACACTGCTCTAAGTAACTGTAAGATAAACAACAATGATGATAAAATTCTTTGGATACCAAAAGTAATAACTTGATTTCGTAGCTTTTTTCTGTTTGATTTGACCTGTTTTGTCGGTCGAGGTGCTCACAATGCAGAAATTCTTTGAACTCATGAAGTCGAAGAGCAACCCCTGATCCCGCCATCACTGTCTGCAACACAATAAAATACTAAATGTGTGACTCATTTTGCCTCCAGATTTGAATCAACTATATGTGCTTCAGCTTGGTCCACATATTATGCCTTATCTTCATATATTTTTGATCAATTCTGGGTTTGTTTTAGGTTAGTGCTGCTTACCTGTTGCCGGCCAGGTGCTTGAATCCAGGACACAGTAATCGGACACTGTGGTCATTGGAGCCTTGAAAGTGGACACTGCTCTTGTCTCCTGGGGTCCAAAGCAAAATAATGTGTCAGAAGAAGACAGAGACAAACTAAATACATTGAAGGTGATGATAGTAGACTGGATCATTTAAGATACAGTTTCAGACTAAGCTGCCATGTTATGTATATATTATATACAACTCTCCATTAATTAAAGTTTGAGATTGATTAAAAAAAAGTCTATATATTTTAGGAGCTTTGGGAGTTCTGGTAATTTTTTTTTGGCTAACATTTTCACTGATTGATTGGCTAGATTGTAAAAAATAAATATGTGATTTAATTAATAAAATTGTATTGTTTTCAAAGAGAACACAGCTTCTATAGTTTGCTCCTCATCGTGGGAATCAGGGCCAATTGAGTCGAGAGCCGAAGGACCGAGAAATTGTTCCACAGACAAATTTGGGCTCCAATTTTGAATTCCCTGCCTTGACCCTAAATTCTGTGTTTCAAATATTTTTTTACATAATATGGTATTTTTGGTTAAATGCAAACGTGATTGAGATTATCTCGAGAAGTCTCACATATAACATTAGGCGCTTTATTTTGCACAATTCTGCCCAAAATGTACATTCTGAGCCAAGGTATTGCTGAATTCCATTGTTTTCTCGGAGCCCGTGAACGCAGCAGGGTCCTCCCAGTCGGATCCATCCCCGTGAACGTGACGCTCTGTCTGTCTGTCCCCGGCGGTGCGTCAGTCCAACGCCTCAGCCTCTGTCTCCCTCACCCGCTTCCTTCCAGTCTTGCTTGGATATTTTACCGAGAAATACACCCTTTTGGAGTGGACCACCGCTGTCTGGGGCCTGGAGATGCGAAAGGCGACCATGGATCCCTCGCTGCCCTGCGCCTTTCTCCACTGACGCACGGTCGGATGCCATAGCCCGTAGAGGAGGAAAGGGAGGAGGGGCATCCCAACCATTCTTCGACCCCGCCAGGTGAATTTATTACAACAAGACGTTTTAGCATGATGGTAGAAGGGTGAGTGGAGTTTTATGGCGAGGATGGCGTGATGGACGCGGGTTTCGAGGGTGGAACAGAGGGGTAAGCATGACGGCTAGCTGCGGTTAGCCCCTGCTTCGTCATTCGCCAGGCTGCAAGGGATGCGGAGCCGGTGTTGTGCCCAATTCAGCACCCCAGACAGAAAATGTTACCCTATTGAGTATTGAATTATCCTGGGATTTCTCTTTTGACCAATATTTGAACGGTTGTGGTTCAGATGGATAGATCCAAATTTGCTCACAAAATTGAAGGATCACGCATGCAACAGACCACATGCTTTCTTGTAGTGATTTGACATGGTTGGTGGTTTTAGGACCAGTGAAATATTAAAATAACCTGTAATTCAGAAATATAATGTTAGGCATATAGTATACTAGGCATATGGGTTGACGTTTTGCTAAACTAGCAAGTCTCATTGAGGATATTTCATTGGAATAGGCCTATTATACATGTGGATCAAACATCTGTCTGTATATATATATTATAAAAATTTACAAACTATAAAATAATAAAATAATTTTAAAACTGTTTTGTAACAGTCTGCTTCTAAATTTGTTTAAAAATGATGAGCAAATGGCTTGTTTCCAAGGTAGAAATGCACATTGGTACAACATGTGCTTCTGTAGACAGGGGTGAGCTGGGGACACTGCCTTTTTTACTGATGAGCAGCACCGCCAGTGAAATTTTGTCTCAATCAACATACAAAGATGCAATTGATTTGGGAAGTAAATATATCCTTTATCTAAATCTACCACAGCTAAATGTTTGCTGTATAGACATTTTTTTTAAATTTCACTAAACAACCACATTCATTTTGAAAGAGCACAATGGTCCAAAGTAATAACTTGATTGACCTAATATATCAAGGCCTATTTATTATATTGATATTTACAGATTCAAAAACATGCAGTAGTATTTGCCAATCAGTATATATTTTTTTAAAGCAACGAGCTGTGTTTCCTCTTTATACTGAGGACCATGCAATTAGCTTATAGAATTTTCACAATTAAACTTGTAATTTCACAGACTCTACAAATTAATCTATTTTGATATTTTAAGTCAACTGGCTTTTAAATGGTACCTACATTGTGTCTACCTCCTGACAGAAAAGTGTTGTAATTATTAAGAAACTCTATCAATGAATGCCCACAGAAATGTAAACTATGCATGTTAATTATTTGTAAAGCCAGGAAGGAGACTTTTAATTTGGGGTCATTTTGTCTCACAAAACAGAGCAAGATGAAACAGTTGTCCATTATTGTCTAAAGATCCAAAAGCCATGATTTTAAACAGCTTCATTTTTTACATTATAAGTTAGGCAAAGTGGTTCATACTTTTCTGAACAAAAACAGCCGTAAAAGCACAATCTTCACGTGCTCATTTATAACATGTATAAAATATATAAATAAATAAGATTAAGTGGTATTCTATAAACCATATGCATCTGTACCCCTTTAGCTCTGAATTCTGCTCAACAGTAAATTAACTAAAAGGTGGAACATCCTAGCTATTCTGTTATTTGGCATATTATGGCTCTTTAAAAACCGTGCACATTATGTAAATTAAGAGTAAGAAATGCACTTTAAATGTTTAGCCGCTATCAGTAATTGCCCAGTGAAAACAGTAACTATGCGTAAAAGAGGTTTGGCTCATCCTGTCTTGGCCAATGTCCACAGATTCAGGGGGAGTCTTAACTCGGCACAACACCGGCTAACATTAGCTGTAGCATCCCTAGCATCACCACCACCCCCCACTACTACTAGCATCCCTGGCTAGCCCTCGCATCCTCCAGTCTACAGGCCGGACCAGTGCACTCAGACGCCGCTACCCGCTGACCTCGCCTCTCCAGCCTGCTTTACGCACGCACATTCATTGCCTCAAAACGCTATCAATCAGGACAATAACCAGACATTCATCCTTGTCTGCCCCAGTGAAATATAAAGCTCCTCGCCAAGCCGGATGTTGTTATGTAACCATTAATGACACCACACGTCCTTGAAACAAAAGCTGTTGTTTGGAGTGTTTGTGTGGTCGCTGCTGCGGGGAGCTAGAGGCTGGACGCCGGGGTTTTGGGGTTCGTTCTGACCGGAGGCCTGCGCCCTCAGCCGGCTATTGAAACACAGCCCCTCCGCTGGTGTCAGCCATTGTTTTTGTTGTCATTGGGGGCTCACGTTTGTTTTGCACGCTATGTCCCGATGATGGCGATCACTAAGGGCATTCCACCAGCTGCACACGTACGCTGCACGATAATATGCGCTAATACAATGCAGAATATGTGCTAACTGCTTGTAATGTTGGTTATTATATTTTTGTGTAGCTTAAGTCTAGGTTATGCACTAATAAACAAGCACTGAGTTGCAGACTGTCAGGTAGGCCTAGTAGTCCTTTTCTGGCTATGCATGTTTTCTATAGCATAAGCATCTATTCTTTGGATTGAAGTTAGAATGCTGTATGCCTAGATTAAATTAATTTTGGTAACTGTAAGACTTTTGCAACATTCAACTATCAATTGTATTAGGGCTGGGTTATTTAGGGGAAAAAACTAATATATTTCTAATGTTGCAACTGTGATTAAAAAATGTGATTCTTTTCAAAGCGCACATTGTTAAAAATCTCGAGGAATATTATCATTTGAGAGAAGACTGAAATCTGAACTGCTAAACTAATACAGAAAACCCACAAATTTCAGAACATGTCGGGACACAATATTTTTCTGTGCAGAGGACATCATATGCACATTATAATTGCACCCACAACTGTCACTGTTCTACTGTCAACAAAATGAAAACCACATTGTCCCATATCTGTGCGGCTGGTCTACACAAGGAAGGAGGAATAATAAAATGCATCTTTCATTCAGTAATTATGGAAGTACAGTAATGCTATGATGATAAATTTTTTTAGTAGAGTGCTGTTCAAACAGTCTGCAACTACTTTACTCTACCTGTAGGCTATTATTTATGTATTATGCATTGCAAGTATTGTAAGTTGATTTGAATTGTCATTTTTCTTTAGGATGTGCAGATCTTGTATGTTTAAAATTATTGCTATTTTTATTATTAAGTAATTTATGATGAGTTTAATGGCACATTTATCGCTGGACTGTGCTTGACTAATACTATACAATTATGAATACAATGATTCGATGTTTAAAAAAAAAAAAAAGGGCCTGTCACAATAATACATTTTGTGATATATTGTTGAAGAAAATATAGGCGATAAATGAGAATATTGGAATTACTTTATCGTGCCAATACAATAACGAAATTCCTGCTGGTACAAAAACAATAACTATTGGCCTCCCCAACATTCGTTGATATAGTAATTACATGGCTTGTACTACATCAGTCAATAAAATTTACAAATATTGCAAACCCATATCATTAATTCTATACTTGAAATTGGGTCATTTGGACATGTTCTGGACATGATGTTCTGGTGTGCAGTTTGTTTCTCTGTCATCTTTGGTACTTAGTTTTGAAAGCTCTAAGTTTCTAAAATGATGAATGCCACTGTAACAACATCATACATCATGTGTTATAGTCTACCTCCACCTGTCATAATTCTTTCATCTGATTGGTCCATAAACAGGAAATGTGTAAGCTCAAGGTGGGAAACTAACTTCCTTTGTGTGTGTTTTTTTTTCTCTGCCTTTTCTCTGCTTCCTTCCAGGTTGACTCACGGTAGCAGCGCCCAAGTTTAAAACAAGTGAATAGCCAAGGAAGTATAGGAAGTAACAAAAACAGGAGAAGAGGGAATATTGGGTGGTGAGAGAAAGTTGGGGACAGGAGGAACCAGGAAGTGAAGCAGAAAGTGATTGTGGAAGGGTTTATTTATTAAGTTCAGGTGAGAGCAGGAGCAGGTTGGTGGAGGCGGGGTAAGAATTGAACAGAAAGCGGCCCAGATAAAGTCATCACACTGGGAGAAGAGGGCGAGAGGGTGAGGAGACGCCACCATGAGCGACCAAAACGTCGTCAAGGAGGGCTGGGTCCAGAAAAGAGGTGAGACTGGGCCTGTTTTATATATTTATTTTCACAGCATAATATGATGAAGACAAGCATTCAATAACTACTACGTAATAACAATATTAATGCTAATATAAGACTAAGGTTGCTATAATAGGTATGTAGGATTCTCACAGTGCACATTTAAAAAGTATCCAATCCAGTTTCAGTACATGCAGCACAGATTTTATTCGGTTATAAGTTTGATATGTAATATTTTTATTTTGCAGAATACTGTATATGTTTGCATTCATAGCCTGCAGTATTTGCAATTTCTAACTCATTTAAATAGTGATTTAAATTCTGTTTAGATATATGTTGCAGTCTAGTGTAAAGGCCTTTTCAAGTGGTTCGAATGGTTTCTTTTCCAATCATTTAGGTGGGATTTTTACCATTAATTTGCTGCAAATTATATTTTTGCTTTCTCAACATTCTGACCACTTATTAGCCATTGTCTCCCTGCTATAATAAAAAAATCTGTATGTTGCAACACTGTACAATATATGTGCTATAATTCTGAATGTGGATAGTAACTGCATTGTTTATATATTTCTTTCAGGAGAGTACATAAAGAACTGGCGACCGCGTTATTTTCTGCTAAAGACAGATGGCTCTTTCATCGGATACAAAGATAAACCGCAGGACTCGGACCTTGCGTATCCACTTAACAACTTTTCTGTAGCAAGTAAGACTCAAAGCATGTGTTTTCAAATGACCTGACAAATGTTTCACTTTGGTAATGATTTCACATGTTTCAATCTACAGTCAACTTGATGTAGGGCTATGCAATTATTCAAATTTTAACTGTGAGTAAAGCATGTGCTTTGGAGCAGAGTTCACACTTTGGAGGCATAAATTGGGCTGTTTTTATTACAAATGACAATGATAAAAAGTCTATTGCAAGCCATTTTATTTGTTTTAATAAGGTTGAATTGGAAATTGGGATAGAACTACCGGTATACAAGATCTTTTTGTCATATGGCCCAGGCAGTGGAGAAATGATAGGCTGAGAAAAAGCTGAGATATCTTTGAAATTCCACGATGCTAATAGTGGCAGTTACCCCTATAACTGAATGAATGCAAAGTCTATAATAAAAGAAAGAGGTACTTAATGACAGAATTCAGAGTGCTACATCCCGTCTCCATCTTCTTAATAAATATTTTACCTATTGCATACTTATAAGAGAGAGCCATGTGAGTCTCTGTGGGATGAGAGCTGATTGACTGTCCTTGAAGGGTCCACTCTGCTTCAAATATCCTTCATGTGAAAACTAATGATGTGCAAAAGGGTTTGTGAGAACTATAAAAAGAGTTAAGTAGCTGTAAATACTACTTCCTCCTTTCACTGTTCATAAATGAGATGATTATACTTTTCATATTATGAATAAGTTGTATATTTAAACAACTGTTAAAGAATTGTACTTTGTTATAACTGAAAACAACAATGATCTAGAAGAAAAGGATAAGTAGCTTTTTTCTACACATTCTGGTAATACAATAATTATCTTTGTTAGTGATTATCATGGTTATATAAAATGTGCTACGAATGATTGTCTACCCTTCTTATCACAATAAACAATATTATTGTTTATTGTCCCATCCCTAACTTATAATTGTATTTTTTCTGTCTTTTGTCAGAATGTCAGCTGATGAAGACGGAGCGACCCAAACCCAACACGTTTATAATTCGCTGTCTGCAGTGGACCACAGTCATTGAAAGGACTTTCCACGTGGACACTCCGGACGAGAGGTGGGTCATCGTTCCATTCACACACACAAGTCCAAGAGCTGTCTGCAGCTAAAAATATCTGATACTAAAACAAGCTCTGGCTATTTATAACATCATAAAAGGTAAAGGAGAGTTTCTTTTTAAAGCCATCTTTAAAGATGACTGAAACAGGGAACACGAGTACAACTTCACCTGGGAGTATAGAGCTGAAATAACTTGCTAATGAATAATTAAAATAGTCCATACTTTTGTAGGAGTTGAATACAGTACACACTAAAACTATTTTGCTCAGACATTTTATTACCAAAATAAAATAGTACTTAAATTCCAAATGTTCATATTGGTCTATTGTGCTCTATCAAGTAAGCAGTAATAGATTCCTTTATCTTATTGTAGAAGTCATATTTAAAGATGCACTGCATAACGCTGCTTGAGGGCTTGAGGCTTGTCTCCAGATACATATTGCTTTGCCATTCTTATATATCTATCCATCTTTTAAAAAAATGCTTTAAAAATATGCAATCTTACTGTGAGCAAGGGTGCCTCTCCACAGATCTCTAACTTGGCCCGATAGCATCACCTGTTTGTCTTCTGGAGATGGGTAAGTTTATTGCTGTACTGTTGGACATTCCAACGAAAGCAACAGCATCTCCATGGAGACTGCAAGTGGCGAACCCTCCATCAGACAAGTTACATAGTGCACCTTTAAGTCCTTGTTTGCTCCTGTTTTGAATTTGGTTTACACCTGATCAAGTCATGATTGTACCTTAATTTAATACTGATGTAATATGATACTTCCTTTGAAACTTGAGGGCATATTTACTACTACAAGGTTGTTTTCCTTCCTCATATTAAATGCATCAATAATAGATTCACCATGCATACTGAGTTGTCCTGGTGGGATCTGTGTAAAAGCCCCCAAAGGAAACCTGCAGCCCTGTTCCCGGGTTGAGCTCGGTCTGTGGAGCGTATAAAGACAGGAAGTGAGGCGTGGGTGCCAGTTCCCAAACACATTTATGTCTGAGTCATATTGTTACCTGTTGACACAAACGCTCATAACATCCGCAAAACTGGCCCAAGAAGCTGACGACAGACAAAAGTGGCCCTATTGTAGTGTAAGACAAATTTCATTAGTCAAACACATGTATACATCTGCACAGTACGATTTACTTTTTTGTCATATCACCCAGCCCTTTTCCAAACTCAATTTGTAAACATTTAGGATCTGTACATATTTGGGGGAAATATGTGGGGGGTTTGCAAAAAAAACAGATCATATTTGGTGCATTTGGGAGATTAAATAAAAACTACCAAAGAGCTAAAAATCACCTCCTCTGTTCAGCACACGGACTACAATCACTGCAGCAAATACATAAGATAAACAGGGAAATGATGCAGCAAAATGATGCCAGGTTTCATATTGTGATGTACAGGCTGGCTGGCTGGCTGATTTTGGAAATCCCAGTAATATATGGGGTTGGGCAAGAGGTGAATCCAAAGCTAATTAGACATGTTAATCATGTATATTTCTAACTTCACCTTCAATACCTTGAATAAAAAACATTTGTTTCTTTTCTGTGTTTTTAGGGATGAGTGGGCAGAGGCGATCACGATGGTGGCGGAGTCTTTGGCGAAACAAGAAGAAGAAGGGATCCTGTGCAGCCCCACGTCACAGATCGAGAACGTGAACGAAGAGGAGATGGACACAACCATCAGCCACTACAAGAGGAAGGTACAAAACATTCAAGGAAACTACTGCTAAACTGCATTAAATACAGTGGCAGTGATAAAGTGTTGGGAAGTTGTTAAACTCAGTAGTTTATTTTTGAGATACATTTAGCGGTAGTTTGTGATAGCTCAACTTACTTTAAGTTTAATTCCTGACTCAGCGTTGTCATAGTCAGACAGGGCAGAAGTTTCCCATTTTGGCTTTGGAGTCAAGTTGGACCACTCAGTTTGTTTGCTTTGAGCTTAGATGCAGAGAGAAGCCACAGCCTCATCTTAGAGGGACAAGTTGTCATGTGACTGTGAACAGGTTAAATGCAGGTTTGATAATAGTGATAAAAGTGTGATGTTAAGTAATTATTTAATGGATAATTAGTATGATGCATTAAAACACATTATTATTTTTTCACACTTCGTACTTTTGTATATCATAAAATACTATTTAAAACTTTGACACATTATCACTTTGCACATACTGAACTAACTATGACAATATATCCAATATAATAGAGAGCATCTGGAGTGTAGTAACATAAACTGTACTTGATATTGATAAACTTGACCAAACTAATGAAAGAAGTTAACATAAATTGCTGTAAATTACAAATTTTATCAAAATGTATAAAAAATTGAAAATAAATTCACAAATTAAATCCTCATCAGTAAACCTTGTTTTGTTGTTTTGTTGCACTTCTGTGAATGGATAAGTGAACTGTCCAATGAAAGCTCTCCTCCGGGAGCAGTTACCATGGTGACTGACTCAGGTTTTAGGTCTCTCTGTGAAACTGAAAACTCTGAGATGATCTCTTTTCAGGATTACCAAAGTTTGACTTTAGACTACACTTTTTTTCAGACAATGAACGACTTTGACTATCTGAAGCTGCTGGGGAAAGGTACGTTTGGGAAAGTGATTCTTGTGAGAGAGAAGGCAAGCGGCACATACTACGCCATGAAGATACTCAAGAAGGAGGTCATCATAGCAAAGGTACTTACCGGGGTTTATGGATACATATGATAGCTCCAAAAGTACAATATATCCAAGTTGAATTTTACTTAAATAAATTGTCTCTTCTCCTCGTCAGGATGAAGTGGCTCACACACTCACAGAAAGTCGAGTACTAAAAAACACTAGGCATCCATTCCTTACAGTGAGTAGCATAATAAATAAATAAAAAATGTATTCATTATAAATATACCTTCACATCTCCATTAAATTTCCTCTGTTTCAGTCATTGAAGTATTCGTTCCAGACAAAAGACCGTCTCTGTTTTGTCATGGAGTACGTCAATGGAGGAGAGGTCAGCCTTTTATTATTATTTACATTTGACCTACTACAGTCTTATTTAAGTTAAAACATTATTGTCTTTTATTTTTGAGAACATTAACATCTTGTGAGAGTTAAATAGTCTGAGACAAATTAAAGACTGTTACATCCAAAAATGCAATGTGATTTTTGATGTAGACAAGTCTTTGGTACATTTGTGATAATTTTATTTACTGATAATTATTGAACTTTTTTACAGCTGTTTTTCCATTTGTCGCGGGAGAGAGTTTTCTCTGAAGACCGAACTCGTTTTTATGGAGCGGAGATCGTCTCTGCTCTGGATTACCTACATTCGGCCAAAATCGTCTACCGTGACCTCAAGGTACTGCACTGTCAGGCCCACAGTAGTAACAACTATTATATTAGAATTAAAGGGTTCTATCTGATGTTTTTGTTGAAATTATCAGTTATTCATATTTTGTTCCTGAATCTAGTCTATTCATTTTTTATCAAGATTTAAACATTTTTTTTAGGTTTCTATGGCAAAACCTCATTTCCTTTTTCCATTGTTATACTGAGCACTTATATAACTCCGTAAATGCTCAGTATTTCCACCCAGAATGTAGATAAAACTTTTATAATTCTAAGTGGACCAAATGTATTTTTACTCTACCCACATTAAAGCTTAAATTGTGTAACGTTTTTTTTTTTTTAAACATTTCATAATCTTACGTTGCTAATGCTCCGATAATTCTTTACTAATGCTTTAATGCTCTCATAAAGCTCTCATTATTCTTTCTAACTGCACACTTCCGTCTTTGTTCTTAAATGTCATACTGTTATTTGAAAGGTAATGTTTGTTTGAATTGTTTATAGCTGGAGAACTTAATGCTGGACAAAGATGGGCACATAAAGATCACAGATTTTGGTTTGTGTAAAGAAGGAATCACTGACACTGCCACCATGAAGACCTTCTGTGGGACGCCTGAGTACCTCGCACCGGAGGTAAAACTTTTTCAGAATGATTATGTTGACTATTGTGAAATCCAATGTGCATGTACTAGACCTTACGTTAAAGGTGTATTGTGTAACCTTTTTGGTGGAGGGTTATTGCTTTGGCTGGAATGTTTCACAGTATGTTATGAAACCTTTTTTATCATTATGGAAAACAAACCAGACCAAGTTACAAGCCAGATCTGTGGAGAAGCAACTCCACTCACAGTCAGAAAGCATGTTTTTCTCTATTTTTGAGCTATAAAACCACTTGTAATTGAATAAAGGTAAAGTAGAGCTGTTTCATGTCATACTGTGAAACATTCCAAGTGGACCAATGGCATATCCATAGAAACAAGCAGGCAACAGAACCCCAACTAAAATGTTACATAGTGTTTTTTATTTTTTATTCTGTGTTTAAGGGAATTATAAATAAAGGATATAGTGCTATACAAATAAATGCGTTGTTGTCTTTTTCAGGTGTTGGAGGACAATGACTATGGGCGTGCAGTGGACTGGTGGGGTCTGGGCGTAGTCACGTATGAGATGATGTGTGGGAGGCTGCCCTTTTATAACCAGGACCACGAGAAACTATTTGAGCTCATTCTGATGGAGGAGATCAAGTTTCCACGCACTCTGTCTGCGGACGCCAAGTCTCTGCTGTCCGGCCTGCTCATCAAGGACCCCAACAAACGGTACTGCCACATGATTCATACAAATACTTTCACTACTGCTATAGGTTGGGGTCATGTGACATCACAAAATGCTGTGGTCTGAAGGTATAGTTCGATTGCAGATTTGGTATCCTGGTTTATGGTTAGTATCTCTGTAATATATGAGCCTATCATCAACTGGCACAAAAGTAGTCTATATGAGAAGAAATAAATTAAAATAACATCCTTTTTTAACATTATCTTCAGAAGGTGGTGTCATTAATCAACCCTAAAGGTGTAAAAATAAGCCACATGACTATTATTTAAGTTTGTGGAGCCAATCTCTAACAAAAAATAGGGCTTGTGGATCATATGTTTGAGTTATTCATCTGAAATTATGACATCATTGCATTTTACAGTGTCAACACAACCTATTACAGCTGCTTATAATCAGGTTTCTATGAAAAAAGCATAACAAGAAAGAACACTTTGTGGAGGTGTTTTTGCCATTACCTCACAGACCAAAAATAAAACAAACACACTCACCTTTTCTTCTATTTCTGTCGTGGATATTCTGGTTTCACGTTTGATTTCTGTTTTTGGTGCAGACTCGGCGGAGGACCGGACGATGCAAAGGAGATCATGAGACACAGTTTCTTCAACACAATTGACTGGCAGGACGTCTACGACAAAAAGGTGACAGAAAAGAAAAAAATGTTACTTTCATGCTTTAGTGAGATATTTGTGGATCAGGGCTACCTTGTGTTCACTGATTGCATAAATGATTACCTCACCTAAACATGAAGGTACACAAAAGAGGAGGATAATATATAATTTGTTTTTTGAATATTTTCCAAAGGTTTTAGTGTCTATAGTAAGAAAACTCTTAAAAATCTGTAAAATGAGTTGTTATAAAAACAAAATCAAGCTCCAACACTGAATTTTGATATCAGTGACCTCACAAGCCCGGACAATTGTAATTGTGCCATCAGATTTTTTTCAGTGAGTTCATTGGTCACCCAACATTTAAAACGGTTAATCTGAGCTGGGATAAATTTGATTTTAGAGTTCAGTGCTTGGCTCCTTGATTCTGCAGAAATCCTCAGTGTTTTTCAGCTCCCTTTGATATCTCTTTCCTTTACTTTTTACTTTTTCCGTTATGGATGGACCCCCGATTGATTATCCACCTGTCAATCACACCCATTTGATAGTAGTTTCAGAAAGTAGCAATAGTTGAGATTAATATGGAAAGTTTGTGGAGCCAGTCCATTACAAACAATACTCAATATTTGTAGATAACAAGGATATTTCTTTCAAAACAGTGATTATCCCATAGTTATATTGGCCCCTGCCCTGAAATTACTATAATCAAATTCTAATATGTAAACAAAGCTATCAGCCTGCTTTTGTCAGAGTACAGTGAACGTGTCATTGACCTTTAACCTTTCTGTCTGCAGCTGGTCCCGCCCTTCATGCCACAGGTTTCCTCGGAGACGGACACACGCTACTTCGACGAGGAGTTCACAGCACAGACCATCACCATCACCCCGCCAGAGAAATGTGAGCAAAGTTACCAACCACTAAATGAAAATTAATGATCTATCAACCAGGGTACTATTTTGGCTTTTTCCTGCTACCAGCGATTTATTCCTACTTAGACTTAGCTGATAATTCTTCAGCTAGGCCTGTCACAATAACAAATTTCTAAGTGTGATTCATTGCTAAAGAAAATCTAGATGACAAATGATAATACTCTGACTAATTAATGCCACAGACACAATAACCCTAACGATGGATGATCAAAATATATATATTTTATATAATCATACATTAAAAATAAATGAATTGCAGAATGAAATGCTTTAGTCAGAGAAGTTATTTATTCTATCCAGCCCTCTACACAGAAAAATAACAAATGTTCCCCACTAATACAAAGAAAAAAAAAAACTAAATATTGACCCCCAAAAATATTGTGTCATCTGTCATTTATTAAACAATACATCAAAATAGTAACGGTAACCTGTCTCCTCTCCCTTTTCTCTCTCTTTCTGTTGCTTTGTCTCTCTCGCTCTCTCTACTGCCCTCTTCGCCTCTCCACCCTCTTTCTCTTTTTCCCTTCCCGGTCTTTCTCTCTACTCCCTCTTCCCTTTCTTTATCCTTTTTCTCCTCTTTCCCTCTCATTCTTTTCTATTTCTCTCCCTCCCCCTCTCTTCTGCTCTCTCCTTCCATTTCCTTCACTCCTTCCCTTCCAATCTCTATCACTCCCACTCCTTCAATCCCTCCCTTTCTCTCTTGCCCTCCCGCCCTCTCCTTCACTCCCTCCCTCGTTCTCCTTCACTGCCTCTTTCCCTCTATCTCTCTTTCTCTGCCTCTCCCTCTTTCTCCGCCTCTCTCCCCTCTGTCTCCATCTGTCTCCCTCTCTTTTTCCATTTCTCTACCTGTACCTCCTTTCCTCCCTCTCTTTCCCGCCTTTTCCTTCTCTCCCTCTCTCAGATGACGAGGATGGCATGGACGCGGCGGACAACGAGCGGCGACCTCACTTCCCTCAGTTCTCGTACTCTGCGAGCGGTCGTGAGTGACTCCTGCTCCTGTGCTCCAGAGGAAAACACGTAGCCATTTTAGGAAAAGTACCAGTGTCCGCTGTTTTTCTCCTCCTCCTCTCCAGTGGACGGAGAAGAGTCTTTTTAGGGACTTTAAAGAGGTTTTTGCACAGTGGGATAGCCCCACACTAAAAAATATCTCTCCTACATTTTCCGCGCTATTACAGCAGAAGGCAATGTTTTTGTTATTTATTTTTGTCAGTATTAAGTTAAGTCCATCTTTCTGCCCCTGTTTTTTCTTGTTGTTCTTTTTGACTTTTTGCACTTGGTTTGAAAGAGCCGTTTTTAGGGAACAAAAAACCAAAAATGTTGCCTTACATGTGCAGATGTGTATCATACCAACAGGGTGATAACTTTGGGGGCGGGGGGAATGTTTTTTGGGGGGTAAGTGCATGGCTTGTGGTTCACTTGATTAACTAGAAGAAAAAAAGAAAGAAAAATCTGAAAATTATGAAAAATGACGAAAAATAATTAGTCATGGGTCACTGTCTGCTGTCGATGGAGAAGTGAATGATGGAGTCCCTTCATTGTGGACGTGTCGTGTTTTTGAACAACTTTTATTTTAATGGTTTAGTTCAGCTTTATATGGGCTTGTATTGTGTCTCAATTGAAGTCTAATGCCACTACAAGTCATAGTTAATAATACTGCATTTATTTATACACTAGGTCTGCACAATATATTGCAATCTAATCTAATCGCAATTTAAGTTAAGTCTAGAAATTGCAAACGCTGAAATTATTTGGATAATAGAATTTGAAATGTTGTACTAGTTTTCCAGGAGTTGTTTACAACGTGTACCTTAAAATAATAATACTTTTAAAAGTTGTACTTGTATATAGAACTTAATCTAATTGCAATACTTGTCAGAAAAATCTGAAGTAGATTATTTTCCAAAATTGTGTAGCTCTAACACACACATTCCATGCTTCAATGGCTATTGGGTCAGGAATACCTAGCTGGTGTATTGGCTTACTTTATGGTGGAGCTCATTACAGAAAGGCCTGGGAATCTGGGAATCTAACTGGCGAACGTCTAGTTGTGAGGCGTTTGATACAGTCCTATAAGAAAGCTGAATTAGACCATATATGTCTCTGTTACATGTGTTTGTTTGTGTACAACAATAACACTAAACTGCCAGTTACTGCACAGTTCACTCAGGATCCAGAGCACAACCTCATTCACAAAAATATATTTCCACAGTTTCTCAGCTTCATACAACTTTTACCTCTTCATTAGTCTCTATAGTTACCAAAATATACTCTATTTATAGCTACAGTTAGGCATGGGACAGTATTATGTTTCAATGGAAAAGAGGACTTGGAATTAGTAAAGAGGTCTAAATTATCTTAACCCAAAATGCACTGAAAACAAAAACATTTGTATGTAAAAATGTTTTAAACGTTGTAGTTGGTGGTTGGTCAAAACGTCAGCCATATTGAAGTGAGATTTCTCCATATTGGCGTCTCCAGCAACATTTTATTGCATCCTGAAAACACTTAAGTATTTTTACATGTATTGAGAGTAAAAGCTTTATTCACTGCCTAAACAGACCTTCCTGTATTCAATTAACAGTTGGTACTGAGAATGCTGAATATTAAGACACTATCACGTACTATTTTACCCCCACCTTGAGACTTTTTATTGCCCCATGCCTAATGTGTTACTCAAATCTATAAGTTGCTAGCTTAAAATGTTTAACTTGTCAACTTTTTTCTTATAAGCTTACATTGGCTGCTAATCTACCCTACATAAGCAACAACTCTTAGCTCCATATACTTTAGCTGTATCTTTTCGCATGTCATCAGTGCATATTATACCTCCAGGCTTTCATACAGCATACATTTCTTGCAGAATTTGTGACAATTATTTTTTTTCTTCACTGCCTACAGAAATGAAACTGTCCTCTTTCTCCTTGTGGCTGTAGGAATTAGTGGAAATCCGTTCACACAGGGATCAGTGGTGTAATGTATGTTTGTAATGTTACTGTTCAGTGGCGCATGGGGCCAACTCTGTATGCTGTCATCATAGCACATAGCTCGTACTTTGGCATCTCAGCACTTAAAGGGAATTCAATTGTCTCATGTTTAAAGTCAAATATAGACAGTAGAGAAAATGGCAGAAAACAAATGTGTTTTTTAGTTAGAGATGCACTATGTAACTTTTCTATTTGAGTCTGCCACCTGCTTGTCTCTTTGGAGATGTTATTACTTGGCCTCAGATGTTCTACAGTTCTGCATTAATCTAATCTATCTTGCATTTATTATTTAGCTGTATTTATTACCTGATACCTTGGAAAACATGCATTCTTACTCTGCAGATCTGACCTCTAACTTAGCCTAGTGGCGGATTGGTGAATTTTATGGCAGATTATGGAACCATTCCAGGAAAAATAACATTTTCATGGAGACAAGCAGAAAAAGACTACAATTGGGCAAAAATACAATTATGGTATAATTTGCTGGTAAATGTAGTAGACTGAACTATCTGCTATTGAATTGTTTCTCTACCGTCTAATAAAAAACTCACTTAGATGCTCAAACGTTCAAACCTGAAATATAAAAAAAATATATTTAAATAAATAGCACTTTTATTTCCATTATTATGATCAGTTAAGTAGCTGGGATGTTCCATTGTCAGTATTACATGAATGAATTGCTGATCATGTGACTTGAGAAAACTGAGCCGATGTGTTCGAGGACTGTGGGAAATTCCTATAACGCCCCATTTTCTTGTCAATGTAAATATGCAATGCCTTTTAGTTCTGTTCATTTGTTTTTTTGTGACATCTTTGACTGGCGTGTTTATGTGCGTGACTGAAAATAACAAGTTAAAAAGGAGAGAGACAGATATTGTACACGTTTATTTTATGTTTTGGGGAATAACTTGGGGACTTTGTATCACAATGTTGTTCCTTCCTACCCTCCCCTTCGATGCCGCGAAAGCCGTACAAACTTTATACCCTTGAACTTGAAAAAATAACAAAAAGACAACGGCAAAGTGCGGCCATATTGATTTTTTGCAGTGCTGGTTCATCGGGTCCATTCCATAACTTTTGTACCATAGTTTAAGTTTGTCATCTTCTAGACAGTGTTTTCTCTATGTCGTTTTAAAATGGCACCTCCTGAGTGAAAGTCAATGGATGAAGATGATGATGTTGGATGCATTAACTAAGTCTTTTTTGTTTTGTTTTATTTTTGGGGATTGTCTGTTTGTTCGTTGCTTGTTTGTTTTCTTACCAAAACATTAGGGCAAGAACCCAGTAGTGGACTTGCATTGCCGTGGTAGTATTTATTTTGAATTAAATTAAAAGGAAATACATTTCAGGGGTTTTGGTGTCTTGACTATTCACTTTGGCTTTTTCTTAAAGAATCGCTGATACCTGCAAATGTTCCAAAGTGCATATGAAGACCTTTTTTTTTTTTAATATCTTGTTTGGGGGACCGACCTGTGGTAAACATTTATCACTATTTCAAGAAAAAAAGGAATCCCTCTATGTCATCAACACACAGAATTCAATGCAAAATGCAGGGACAATTTACACACAAAGAAAACAATTTTCTGACTGAGGTAATAATCCAAAATTATGCAAGATTTTTAACTTAATTTTACGATTTAGAATTGTAGCAGTCTGTAGCAGTCATACGTACTTACACAAGAATGTTTGAACCAGAATACAGAGAATTTTGAAAATAAGGCCAAATGAGTGAATAACCACTTTGAACATTTACTAAAAGTGAAATCTGAACAAATAAGGATTTATTTCAGTGTTCAAATGAAAAGTCCATGATATAATTTATACTATACTTTTTGTAGACTTGATACTCTTAAGGATCACAGTACAAAGGCTCAAAGCTCTCTTGCTCTCATTAAGACCAAATTAACATCTCATCTCATCCAGGTATCTTCTACGACCCTGGTCTGGCATTTGGTTTTCTGTCAGGTTTGATTTGTCCATTTCAGCGCAGCTCAAGTCGGGGTTCATTCTGGTATCGGAGGCGGCCAGTCCACATCTACAGACTGAGAAAAAGAACCATTCAGTGCATTTTACAAAAACACAGATATTATCATGTCTATGCCCTAGTAACAAATATTGAACTCATGGTCAAATCATAAAAACTAGGATAAAAATTTAATAAAATCTATCATTGTACTAATGTGATTGATCTAAGCGGGAGAGGCTGTATGCACAGATTGACAGCCACATTTGTGTACCAGGAGAGCTGTGGCAATACCAAGCCAACCATGCCAAATTGTAGAGCAAGGTTGAGCTAAGTAAAATAATTTGTGATTATATGAATGCATTATTATTCCGAATCAGGTGTACAAATAATGATAAAGACTAAACAACTATAAAAGATAGATTCTCACCTCTACATCCAGCTCTAAAATGTCTGTCTCCATCTGCAACAGTCGACACATGTTTGGTTTGGTTCGACCGAAATCTCCGTGAACAAATTCCTTTATGTATCTGGTCTGAAGTTAAGGAATTGTTAAATGATCACTACAGGATGGTCTATACAGGAAATGCATTATTACCTTGCAAAGAGACAGCAAAAAAACTAAAGTTATATCTGAATCTGCTGCTACTGAAGAGAGAAGCAGTTAAAAAGGTAAAAATTGATATGCAAGAGGGAGAGGGAAACTGCAGAACAGGCTGGGTTCACGTAGTTTAAAATTGAGCTGGAGGGCCGATCACAAGTGATATATTGCTTTGCCTGGAATGTTCCACCTTATGGCATTAAACATATCGATCTTGAATTTTCTCAATAAGAGTATTTCATTGCTAAAAAAAAACAAAAACTTTAAAAACATTCTTACTGTAAGTGGGGTCGCCTCTCCACAGATCTGACATGCAACTTGGTTTGACAATGTCAACCAGTTGTCTTCATGGAGATGCATAAGTTAGATGCCATACAGTGAAACAATATAGAGCTAGGCAATAACAGTTAATAAAAGTTATATAGTGCATTTTTAAACTGTCAGTTTGCAGATTTGTTTATATAATATCTCTAATTACTGGGCCTAGCCACAACTCAAACATGTGTAAATGAACAAACACAACTCCATGTCTGTATTTGATGAGGTAACAACATTCTAACATGCCTAAGAGTTCACAAGAGTCAATTTTGTGTAATCAATTTTAGTACACGCATCTGTAGCCGGTGAGGATACGTGCCGGCCTGTGTCTTGAGCCCCAGATAGAAGTGGTGTGGGTCCTTGTACTCTGAGCTCATACTGTGGATCACTCTGGGTCTCACGGCCAATGCACGACGATGGAGCACTCGCAGAGGGGTTTTCTGATCCACGGTCAGCTCCTGCAAAGAAAGTAATGTCATGAAACGATGGCATTACTACTTTCCTCCTCTCTTCTTCCTCTTGGTTATCTTCCTAAGGGCACAACTACAATAATATTACAATGCTCTGGCTGGAGTTGAACTAGGGTTGTCAAAATTATCAAAAATGATAAACGATGGGTATAATCTTTACATATTTACATTTTTAATGTTCATTAATGTGTTGTCTCTTTACAAATAAATAAGAAAATAAGAAAAATGTGACAGCATAACATTTGATTTTAACTGTCTACCTTCTGCTTATAGGGCTCTAAAAGCTAAATAGTTATTCACAGATATATTGGCCACCTTTACCTTAATGTCATTGAGAAAGATGATGTCCTCTTTCTCAATGGGTTTTTGAGTCCAGACAAGAGCTCGGTATGACTTAGTCTTCTCTTCCTCTCCCTCCTTCATTCGACCCATTGCATCTCTATTCAATAACAGACCAAATATATTTACAAAACTGAAATGATTAAGTGAAAGTGCTTTGCTTTACCTGGATACTATCTGTAGATCTCGAACACGGATTTTGTCAGAAGAATCATTTATGGTCTAAAAAAACAACAATACATACAACATGCATTAATCTGTTGATTTCTGCCATATAACCTACATAAGTACATCACTATACAGAACAATAACATAAAAGTAAAGTAAAAAATTCAACATTCATGTTTATTCTTCTTATTTGTGTAATTTTAATTATTTCTTCATTCACTTTTTTTTTTTTACCTCTAAAGAAAAAACATTATTTAAACATACTTACTCAATGCTTAGAGTTAATATTGTATGATTTTTGAAAGCACCTAATACCTAATCCTTAATAACATTAGGTTAGTGAAACAAACAATAGATATAAACCTGTTGTATCTTTTTTATTTGGTCCCTGTTAAACCTGGGTTTGTGAGGGTTGATCAGTTCCATCGCAAATGGACGTCCTGTAACATAAAAACAAAGCCTTTTTTAAAAATAACTATCCAATTTAAACATTATATTACTATATTCCATTGATATCAACTTGTTTATTATTTAACCTAAAAGCTTTATTACATTTAAGTATTTAGCAACTACTTACCGTTTCCCTTTCCATTACTTGCATTTTGTTGGTTTTAAACAATAGCCAATGGCAACCTTCCTAATACTTTTAGCATCAGTTAAAAAAAAAAAAAAAAGTATACCATTTCCAAGTGTTCTCACATCCACGTCTTCTCTGCCAGATGAGGAAAAATTAAAACCTGCAGAACACAAAGTTGAAATACAGTTAGATCTGTTCTGCACTTTTTTCAGTTCATATTTAACATGTCCAGGATAATAAACAGTTAAGAGAAAATCTAAATATAACTGTTAAACTAATACATGCATTTGAGAACATTATAGAGATCTATTGTAGGGCTGAGCAATTATTGAGTCATTTATAAATCATTAGTGATCAGGTCATTTTAATCAAGAGGTCTACAGCCAACCCCTGTCGAAAAAGCATGAAAAAGCATTTTTTTTGGTACTTGTCAAAAGTCTTTTTTTTTTTTTTTTTTTTACAGAAAAATTATGTTAAGGTCATTTTATATACATTTCTTATAGCATATCACCCGGCTACAGGGTTAGCAGATTTAGTATAACAACACTAACTACATACAGGATATTACAATCTGTGCATTGCATCATACTACTACCTGAAGAATTACAGCCTTAGTTAGTTACAGATTTAATTGAGTTGAAATAGTGACTGACAGCAGCCACTCCCCCCTCTCTCCCTCCCCCTCCCTCACCTGTGGCTCTAAATGTCTCCAGAATTGGTCCAGCAATGAGCTCCTCCACAGAAGACTCCATCCTCCGCTCTCCGTTGATGAGCCACGGTGTCTGTGGTAAAGTGCGGCAAAACTTATTGTACCTGCCTGGATCACGAGAGAAAAGCAGGCATAGCAGGTTATAGCAGGTACAATTATATGAGTGGTTTACATTTGAAAATAAACATTCAATTCAAATTTTAACATTTTAAATGTTCAGGAGCATTAATGTTTAAACAAACAGCTAAACTAACACAAGAATCACATTGATTTTAGGCTTTTTGCAATTGCAATTGCAAACATTAAAACTGTGAAAAAAAATCCCTCAATCTTATGTGTATGACTTTTGCAGACCATTTTCACAATTGATTATGTAACAGTCATTATACTAAAATTTCAAGCTCGATTCCGATAGTAAGAAAAGTTTCTGATATTTGATACCAATTGCAATACCATAAGATAGTAAAAGCTCAATGTTTTTCTACAAATTGAACCAAGCTAATGGTTACTAACTTAAAAAAAAAAAAAAGGGTTAGAGGGGTTTAAAAATGAACCTGCAATGAAGACTGATGTGTGCAGACACTGCACATCCCGTGACACACAGCTAGATGAGGGCCGTGGGGGAGGGCAAGGGTAGTGTCTGAGGAAACATTTTTTTTTTATATTTAGGAAAAGTAATTTGTATTTTTATATGATCTGTGTACATACAGAAATACTCACTTCAAAAAATTGGTGTCAGAAATTTTCTCCAAGGCTTTGACAACAGCCATACGTGTGAAGACTGACTGAAAAAAGCATAACAAAAGAGAAAATGACGTAAAGAAAAAATACTGTAAAACACACGTTTATTGCATTTAAATACAGAGCACAAGTCCAGTACTGATTATTTTTACAGCCGCACTTTCAATTCAGTAGACTGACAGAAATGTGTCAGTCTGTGCCTACACCCTCTATAGAGTTACAATAATAGATTTATAGAGGTGAAATAGAGGCTGAAGTGTCTTGCCCAAGGACACAAAATGTGATTTTCTTTTTTTTTACCTCTTTATTTTTTGTTGGTTTGAAGCAGTCTGGGCACGTTGTTGCTCTGTAGACAAAATATACATAAAAAATAAGACTGCCATTTTGAATCTTTTCATTTTACTATAGTTGGAAAATAAGAGTGCAATGGAGTTCAACATTAACAATACATACACAATCATTTTATGAAACACACAGACACAGATTCTAGTCTAGTTGAATTAGCTGAATTATTTAATTACAGGTTAAAATAATGTATGTTCATTTTAAATTAGTGTGTAGATTATAGGACCTACATAGTTTAGTGAAGTAAAAGTACTTACAGAAAATGGCAGTCTTTGTCAGTATCTGGATGAACAAATTCTACACCGACCTCAAACGCACTCTGAAAAACAGATTGATGAATGTAATTAATAAATGTTTTTATTACCTTTACACTTGTATATTGTGTACCTTTGAGACCACCATAGCACCCCCTAGTGTCTTTGAGACCAGACTCTGCATGACCCACTTGAACGCTTCTTTCACCTGAATCACATCGTCTTTTCCCAATACAAGACTCTTTGTTCTGATAGAAAAATAAATAAATAAATAATTAAAAAGCAAAAATGAGGACTTAAATCTCACAAAAACAGCCACTATAATCAGCAATTGCACATTCAAATGGATCAAAAATCAGAAGTTAAATATGATACAACTACTCTGCCTAAAATGTTCTACAATTAGGCATTTACTTTACCTCTCCATGACAGGCCACCCCACTCACAATGCTCTTTTTAAAAAAAAAAAAGTTTAATTTTTAATTTTTTGAAGACATTGAGTTTTTCATGGTCGATCCCAATATGTTCCCCAAATTCTGCAATTTAAATTTACTACAAACAAGTGTTCAAGTAAAGCTTTATGTATATTTTTAAGGCAGCAGGTTGGCCATAAAAAATATCGCCCTCTGCTGGAGACTTGTGGCCATAGCAGCTTGTCAAAGCCTGAGCTTGACAGATCTTAGAAGCTAAGTAAGGCAGGGCCTAGTTAGTACCTGGGTACGAGATCAAATCTGCAGCTGTGGCTATATAGTAGCTTACCACCACTAAGTGTGAAGTGAATGAATGAACAATGCACTGTAAAGCATCTGAGTGTCCAAAATGCACTATATAAATCTGATCAACTATTATTTTTTAAGGTTGATAGGCAAGAAAGTGCAGATATAAGCCCGAAAGATCCTCCAACCAATATATCAGTCTATCTCAGTTTTTTTGAGCAATAGAAACACACAAAGTTCATTAAATGGAAGATGTATACGTTTACCAGGCAATTTACATCACCATAGTGAGACCTACCTCACTTCAGTCTTTACATGAAGCCAACACGAATGCTGCAAGACAAAAAAAATTAACAAGTAAGTGGACCATTTCTTGACCATTTAGGTTTTCTTATGATAAAAAGTATTTACCTCTCGAACACAGAGCTGAGCAGGAAGAGACACTGACAAAACCAAGGAGTCAAATTCATAATTTTCTGTTTTTATTGCTTCTGCCACCTGTGAAAATCAAACAAATAGAGGGTCTGTAGTGTCTCTGGGCAGAATACACAATAGCCCCAGCTAATATTGGAACTCTGCATGAATTAGTGTTGTCACAGTACAACTGTGCTGTATACTAGTCTATGTAGTCTTATATTTGTTCTGATGCAGCTCAAGATCATCTGAAAGCTATTAAGAAAAAAATCATTTCAAATGTGAATTTTTTGTATTAATACTTGCTCAAATGAGTATCTAGTATGATATTAGTTTTAGTATGGATTGATATCTGATTTTCGATACGTGTGACAATCCTACCATGAATATGAGCAATTAAGTGTGATTTTCACAGACTTACTACTGCTTTTGGATTTTATGGTCAAAATTATAAATAAAAAAGAGGGTCTGATGTATGAAATCCCCCTGGTGCTACTCAGTGGTTGCCCAAATTTATTATAAAAATACTATATAATTGATTAGGATCATTAGATAACCAGTTACTGCTATCTGAGGATGGAAGGAGTCATTACATTCAAAGTAACTATGTAAGTGTATGTAGATTTGTACCTTTGAGGCCAGAGTTTGGTCGCAGTGCTCCTGTAAGACCCCCAGACATACTGGACATATGGGACTCTCCTCTTCTCTCGTTGGTTCAGTCTCCTCTGGTTTGAAACGCTTTGGGGGCGGGGCTTCATCTGCTTCCTGTTCAGTGCCTGCATCTGATAGGCTCTTATTCTCTATGGTTTTTCCTGTTGAGCTTTCACCATCACCAATGAACTCTTTGAGCTCCTTAAGTAGTTCCTACAGAATAAAAAGGAGGTAAAATGTTTTGTTTTGAAATCTACTGAGTGCTGAATACTTGATGGAAGAAGTGGAGGTATATCGCTCTCAGATTCATGACATTTGCCTTGCTAGATTTTGATCCAGTATGTGAGAACAATTCATTTGTTCACACTCGTGTTCAGGGGACCAAAGTTAGTGTCTTAGAGAAAGGGTACAGTGAACAGTGATTCGTATTTGGGATTAATGCTATGGTGAATTATAGGTTGGTAAAACATAAATGTGTGTAGTCCAATCTTTGCACTCTAAAATTCTCCTGTTGCTATTTAACATTTCACCTAATACAAGAGCACTTTGAACTCATTAACTGTTTTTATGTGTTAACTTTTAAAGGAACTGTTTGATCTATCTATCTGTGTATCCATGTATCTCTCTATCTATCTACCTACCTAACACTGGTATTTAAAGGTCTTGTTATATATAGTTTCGTATTCATCACATTGTTGTTGTCATTTTGTACATGCAGTTACTACAATGACATTTCCCCACTATGTATAAGTTCTCTGCATTTTTCTTGTTAGTGTAATTTTTTTTTAAATAGTTATTGTGCACATGGGAGCCTGTACCTGGGGCAGTCTCTTGTAAAGGGACTGGACGTTGATGCAGCAGAAGCGCAGGACACACCGAGGACAACAGCCAGACGACAGCAGCTTCTGAACCAGAGCTTTGTCCTTCTCCTTCAGCGGCAACATCACTGCAAACAGCACCTGCACACAATAGCTTCTATTTATATGTTTCTATGTTGTCAATTCTAGTTACACAATGTAACCTTTGAATTTTTTTTGTAAGGTTAATGAATGATTGACTACATGATGACTGCCTGATATCTCCAAGGAAACAAGAAGGTTACACCATCAGGCCAGATCTGTGGACAGGCGATCTCATCCCCACACAGTTAAAAAACAAAACAAAAACATGTTTACATTTTGTAAATGTAAGACAGTTATATTTAATGTCTGTGGAGCAGTCCAGACAGCACAATAATATTCATAGAGGCAACCATGCATGTGACAGACCACCCAAAAGAAAAGCTACATAGTGCACCTTTAATGTCCTCTCGAACTACATCCACATATTCTCCTCTTTGGTCTTAGGCCTTGTTTTTCCTGGCAGCTCTAACCTCAGTATCCTTGTACCCATGTATTCACTGTCCTTCCTTTGTAACGAGTAACATATATACTCCCTGTCCCTCCTCTGTGCTATACATTTATTCACTTTTCCTCTGCCCAAACTATAAATCATCTTAATCTGGAAACTGTATTCAAAACACACATGTATCAGGTATCCATCCACAAGTCTGATCCAGCAAAGCGTGTATAATTTATTTCGCGTTTTCTTAAGCAAATTATTTCACTATTAGTTAAAATGTGTGAAATTATCCGTTCACATGTCAGACGCATCCTAACCATCCTAAAACATGAAATATAATCATTCTAAACCGAAAGAACTTCACTTGCATCCAACGATTGAAAAGCTTCTATCAAGATTTTAACAATAGTTTGGGTCTTAGCTTACACTGACCACTTCTGATATAAACTTGGCTTTTATCTGAGCTGAAAAGAAACACATTAAACCACAGAGTTACATAAAACAGGCCTTAAAAGGTGAGTAAAAGCAGAGATACTTCACCTGTTTCTCACATGGAGGAAGCTGCGTCTTCTTTGGGTGTTGTTTTGGTGGAGTTATGCTTCATTACTGCCCCCATCCGAGAGAGAGGCGCTACAACTACTAAAAGTGCCACTGTTTTGCAATTATCTGGTATTTATTTGCAGGTTGATAGACATTGTGTGTCTGAAACAAAACCATGTGTGATTCTTAACCCTTCGTGGGAAAGCCAAGAATAGGATGTAAAAGGTCTGGTGGTTATAGAACAAAGGCAATAGCCCTCATTTACTTATGGAGGACCCTGACTGCCAAGGTTTAATTAAAAGAGATTTAAACATTTTATTAAAAGTTTTAAAGTAGTTTTTTAAAAACAAACAGACTAAAGACTTAATAAACCATACTTTATTTATTTACAAATCTTTTTAGGAAAACCTTTCTCAAATTGTACCTTCACTGATTAACTTTTCTATGGAGTAGGAAAAGCTATCAGAGGTTTATCAGAGAAGGTAATGTGATTTGAGAAAGGTTTCCCTAAATTAATTAACCGATCAATTAATTATTACAATCATATTCTAATTAATGTGTTCAATTTGTTTTCCTGTTCCCTCATGGTTTGTCTGTCTTACTGTTCAGAAACAAAAATGCCCATTATTTTATTTTGTGTTGTATTGTACTTGCCTGTCATATCCTGACTGATATCTCTCTGTTTTTATACGGATACCAGTCTGGTCACCACACCCTCTGTTGCGTTTCAAGTCTGATTAAACAGGTTAGTGATCTCTCATTGATGCGGCATGAATATGATGTTTTTTATCTGTGATATTTTTTTCCTTTATTTTTTCATCAGGAAAAAAAGGACAGATTCACCAGTGACCAGATTCACATCTTCATAGTACTGAAGAAGTGTGTATTCTGGATCCCAGACAAGAATTGTGCCACTGCAGACTGACAAAAGCTCTCAAGAGAGTGGTCCAACCAAAGTCATGATGAATAGAAATTACCTGTTAATCTGACAGGTGCTGGTAAACTATATTTTCATATTCTTGTTATCAAGCTAAATAGATTGAATATTACTGTATGCACACAATTTTCCACACCAACTGTGTCTAGAAATGCAATAGGCTTACATTAGCCCATAGAGAAATGAAAAAAGAAATATTAGTTATATTACACTATTTTCTGCTCATGTTGTGATAATGTTGTCACCTCATCAAAGTTGTGGATATATCTCAGTCCTAGAATTGCCAGTCACTATTGAGCTAAAGGTAAAAGGTAGCTGTTAACTTAAAAATTACCACTATATGACATCGCAAGTTGGAAGAGAGAATTTTGAGTTTTGGAGGCTAATAATAAAAGTATAAATAAGGTTACACGTGTGAATGAAACAAAATACAACTCCAGGTGTTTTTGATGAGATAACCGCATTATAACATGACTTAAACCCTATAACAGCAGAGGCGGCGCTACCATTAGGCAAAAGTAGGCGGCTGCCTATAGCCCCCAAACCTGGAGGGGCCCCAATCTACTGCCCTCAGTACCACTAATGGCCGAGGCCCCAGAGCAATTACATTTTCTCTGAATATGACATTAAACAATTAAACAATAATCATAAGAAAAATAATAATCATATGTCATGGATGCAAAAATGTAATTGTACCAGCAATTGTACCCCCCAATTTACTTCCCCCCCAAAATGTTAATTCCGCCACTGCATAAGAGTAACTTTTGCATAATATAGAACATTTAAACTCAAGTACATGCAGTATCCTATAAACGACACTCATTTCTACTTTGGGGATTACATATTAACATTTGCAAAATAAATTTAAATTTATACCATTGCTATTTTAGATTATTTTGCTATTTTAGAATTTCTGGCAGATAAATTGGAGTTTCTTTGAGCAGTCTGTGATAGAAAGGCTGTTGGTTGTTTTGGAGAAGGCCCCACAGTGACTCAAATGATTCGGACAACTTGGTAATATAATCTGATGATTCACTGGCTCTCCGCTCACCCACCACCACTGCCCTCCCAGGAAACGGAGACCTGTCCAAACCTATGACAACAAAAAAGTCATTATTAAAGGCATACTGGGAGCATACACGTATTTTTTTCATTCATTCAAAGCTACTGAAATGACCGATATTGTGAACAAAGGTAGAATTATATATATATTTTTTTTACCTAACAATATACAAAGAATGAACCGAGAAGGGACAAAGAAGGTACCAGTTAAGAGGACAGTAAGGCTTGCATATTGGAAAAAAATTGTGCATTTTATCAAGTGGGTTGAGGTTATGGAACAATTTAAGTGAAGAAATAAAACTTTCTATAATCCTATAATGCAGAAGAAGAAGGAGATCTGTTATTTAGTGGAGATACACAGCAGGATGCATCAAATGTAGAACCATGTAAATAAATGGAAAGTAATGCCAATTTAATGGATTAAATATATTTTTGTTATTTCTTCACACTCCTTTTTGAACATGCATTATTATAAGCTATTGAATATATTATGTATGTATTTTATGCTCAAAATAAAGGATTAAAGGTTCCCTATTATGCAAAATTGACTCTTAGCCATGTTAGAATTTTGGTGCTTCCTCAAAAACATACCCAAAGTTGTGCTGTGTTACATTCACATATATTTGAGTGAGCCTTTATTACTTCTGTCTACATCTCCAAAGCTCAAAATACTTTATTCCACCTTGTAATGTCATGTGGTGGTAGCTTTCAAGATAACAGCTACCCTTATCCTGTTCAGTATGATTTCAGAGCTGAAATTAAAACATTCATATTAATAACTGAGTTTGCTGGTCTTACCTCATCGATTGCATCATAGATCCTCTTCTTCACATGGGAATAATCAGACTGGCTTTTCACTGTCACTAGGCTATGTTGGATCATCTCACATGAGTTATTTGTCTGAGGACACATCTCAGTTTTGTCCAAACTTTTGCAGTGCTCCAGTGCCTCCTCCCAGGTCTTTCTTTCGTGCACCATGACCAGCGTGTCCAGGAAACACATAACATTAAGAGGGGTATCACAGGGGTGGCTCTCCCATGTCTGTGTATGTGCATTAAAAGCTCCACAGTCATTAGTAACTGGTTCACCGTTCATCCATGCGCTATAATTTAGATTTTCTCCTTCAGCCCACATCCATGTTTCACCTCCTACTCTATAAAGCCCAATCCATCCAGACTCACCCATGTCCTGAATAAAATATCCCACTTCTCCAATCCCATTTTCGGTGACAGTAGGGAGATCTCCCGCCTGCTCATCCTGGCACACCTTTCGTGCATCATGCCAGGAGAGCCTGGTCTCATAGTAAATGGTGCCGTTTGCTGAAGAGCAGAAGAAGGGATGTTCTTCAGCACATCTTTTACTAGACCAGGTGGAATCATTGTTGTAATATGCACAGTGGCTGCTATGGCCTTGGTCACTCCAGTTAAGGCTCTGGAAGAAGTCACCTGTGGTTGGTTCAACAATTCTGAAGAAATAAACAGATAATAACAAATAAAATCCAAATTGACTATATTTACAAATACATTTCTTATCTAATGTCGTCGTGGGTGTAGCTGCAACGGTGGGGTAGGATAACCAGGCAATCACAGAGGGCTTAGCTAGCTGCAGAGGGCCCCAAAGGACATGCTTTTCTCAACTTACTGGATTGTAAAAGTTGTTATGAAAAGCAATATTTCTTCTTAAATATGAACTGACAAAGTACAAAATAAGCATTTTTAAAGTATTCAACAATCATAAATTTCTTGGTAAGGGGTCCCCAAACCCCTTCTTGCCTATAGGGCCCTGGCTGTCTAGAGACAGCTCTAAGCCCCTAATACTAAAGCACATACACAATCATAAAGCTCCATGTTACTTCACTTTTATTGAAATACACTGTGTAAAAAAAAAAAAATACAGCTGTGTTGTGGAAGCTCAAAAAATGTCCTAGATGTATATTTACTAAATCAATCACACAAACATTTGGCCTACATTATATTATAAAAAGCTTAAACTGTAATACTTTGTTTGTTTTTGATACATACGCAGTGTTGAGCCAGTGCCATGCTGAGTCGTTGTGCAGGTCCCTCTGCAGACCCATCCACACCACGCCCAGACCCTCAGTGACAGAGCTCAGAGTGGAGGCAGACAGTATGTCCAGAGTTAACATGTCGCTGTAGCCAGTCCTGCATTCATTTAAAGCATCTGACCAGGTCATGTTCAAAGGCTGAACGCCTGTTTCATCCTCCAGGACATAATAGTCTAGTGATGCCTGTGATGCTGTGATCACTGCTGTGAGAAGCAAAGGCAAAAGGAGCTGTCTCCCCATCATGAAGACAATCCACCTTTAGACAAATAAAAAAACAACCTGCCCAGTCTTTTATAGAACCACACTTGGCCCCTCCCACCAGTTACTATACTCAGTATGCCTGATACAGTTTCAATTCAAACAATTTTTGTTTGTTACTTGTGATCGGCCCATGGCCTGACATCAGTACTTTAAAGTGCTGTTAAATTATTAGGTAGGGTATGAATTGTTTTTATTTGTATCCCCAGAAATTCCTCAGACATTTACTTTATATTACATTTTACATAATGAGAAAGCTGTTTATGTTTCCATTTTGTATTTTGCTAAGGCCACCATTTTTAGTTATTTAGATAGAGAAGCATTAATGAACATTTGTGTAAATGCTAATTTTGCCACATGGCGAATTTTCATCCATAGTCACTGGACTGACAAGTTAAGACAATGTACATACAAAAGTGTTTACAGCTATTTACATACACAGCCATGAAAACACAACATACAGACATGGGCACAAGCATGCAGAACAAACAGCTTAGATGTAGAACATGAAAGAACACCTATTCATAGTGCCACCACTGGTGAAGAATGAAATTAGACCCACTTAGTCTATAGGTCCAATACAGAATGTTGAGGAATTCATATTCAATGAATGTTTCTCAAAAGATGACATAGTTACAAAGTCACAAATATTTGCCTTTTATTCAGGGTCTGACTTCACTAGCATTGAAAGACGATAAACAAAGCAGAAGCAAAAATAGTGCATACAGTAACTCTAAACGTCTGAAGGGCCATTCAAATCCTTAACATTCAAAGCTGTCCTTCCATGCTCCAGCGGCAAATGAGGCTCCAGGCTATGAGCATTTGAGTAATGTAAATAGTCCTAAAGCGCTCATCACTGATTGCCTTTTTTGGTTTGTTTTGCATGTTTTTAATGTGAATCTTGCATGACATCTACACCTCCCTCCTTGGAGCAGCAACCTCAACCAAAATATTGTAAACAACTGCAAAAAATAATCTTTAACTTTATATGGGAAAACAAAGTCCATTATTTAAGAAGAGATGCTCTTTGTAACCAAAGGGGCAAAGGAGGACTGGAGGTTTTGAGTTTTGAAACTATGAATAATATCTTCAAAATGAAGTGGTTAATGCAATTCCAGGTTGTAATAATAATTTAATAATAAGTAATTCTAAAATAACAATAAAGACTCATAAATAGGTACTTTCCTGGAGGCTGGTGTAAAACACAACTTCTCACCAAACAGTCCAATGAGGTTTTTTTTTTCAGACCAAGAGTTTGTTTTCATACCTGACAGTTGGGTTGATCACAGAATTCTTTGGGTGAATCAAAACATTAATAAGCAAAAGCAGATATTACTACATACAATTAATTTATCCCACCAATACTTCCAAGTCCAGATCTCAGAATATACCATAATCTACAATGCTGTACCAAAAGGAATTTTACAGATAATGACTTTAATTGTACAAATAATTGATATAACCACCAAAATATGCTCCAGCTTCAGGCTTCAAATCACATCTCAGTGGAATTCAATGTACTTACGTTAAACTGGAAAAGGGCATATCTAGTTGGTGGGAAGTTGTGCATTCACAATCCATCACATATAATCCAAACTTCTGGAGAGATTCATTAAACACAGACTATAACTGTGACTTTTGTTGAGCCAGAAACCATCATTCATCTAGTCAGTGTGATACAGTAAAAACCTCTGGGTACACCCACATGACCTCATCCATAACAAATACATACAGGATATAGGATCAGCCCCCAGGAACGCCACATTCTCTGTCACTTTCACAACCCCTCCAAGGCCTTTTCCTTTTGGTGCAGACTATCATTATTTTGACCAAATTTCACATCCACAAAACAAACTGGGGAAAAAGTAAACCAAATGGCTGTTAAATAGTTACAGTGCCTCATGTTAAATATGGGTAATTGAGGCCACCACATCAGAAAAGTTACAAATTGTACCTTTACATTTAAACTGTCTTCTGTTCTGTTAGAAATATAATTGATAAATTCCCATTATTTCTGCTCTTGTTAAGTATTCACCACCCTTTACAATTCGTCTGTTACATTAACTCTTTCCCCCTTGGACGCCTACTAGGAATGCCCCATACATATATCGCTAGGGCTACCCATAGAGCATAATTACATAAAAGAAAACAGACTTCTACTAGTGATTATAAATGATTTTCACACTTGTGAACTTTATTGAAACACATAAATAGTTGGTATTTCTAGAAATCTTAGACTCTGAACTCTTCATTTTTGGATGTTTAAATGTGATTCAACTCATTTACAGGTTTATAACAGCTCAATGAAAATGAGAGTTTATCTGGTCAGGTGCAAAATTGAACAAAAAACTACATTCAGCATCTGATATATGCATGTTCTGAGTGCTATATTAATAAAAAAGTAAAAAATATTGTCAAAGGGTTTAAACAGATTTCATATCACCAGAAACAGTATAAAAATCACTTTCTCCAAAGTTAACCATAAAATATGTCCACTCCTCATTATTTGTAAAACTGTGCGCCGCAATCTTTCCATTGCTCATGTTTCGTGTTGTGTTTTTTCCAGAAGCTACAATCATCACTACTTCAATTAACTTTGTAAAAAAATCAGCGAAAACGCATCCTTGAATCCTATTGGTCAGCCAAATATGAGTTGTAGTGGCCCCCACCTATTGCAGCCTCTGTTTACATGTGAAAAACCGAAACCGTTTCTAAAGGTCGTCAAATTACTTCTTTAGTGATATAGTGGAGGTGTCAAAACACGTCATTAAGGATACAAGGAGGGTCATCAAATGTCATCTTCATGGGGGAAAGTTAAAGGTACACTGTGTAACATTTATAGTGGAGGGTCTGCTTTTCTGCTTATCTCCATAGAAATGTTATTGTTATGTCTAAAATGTTAAATTAAACCTACCTGTCATAAGGGAGACAAGCAGGTGACAGCACTGCACTACAGATCTGTGGAGAGTCGCCTTTGTTCACAAAAGGAGTCATTGTATTTTTGAGCAATAGAAACAAATTAATAAATACTAGATAGATTTGTTTAATGGTTGGAAATAGAGCTCACTCTGAATTTGCCAGGCAACTGTTGCCTAATGCTACATTAAATAAATAAAATCAACAACGTCTCTGGGCATAGCCCAGAAGATAAACATATCTAAACTAAACAGAAAAAGCTCACACCCTGGTTTGATAATTGACAGAGACAGTTCATTTACAAAAAGGTAAGTATAATTGACCTTTTTTCCATTTTTTTCCTTGAAGATGCAGTATGAGCATTTTCTGGTGGGGGGTATGCGACCTGCCTGTCTCCATGAAGTTTCATTGCTTGGTATTGCATGTTCCTCAGTTCAGCATTAGATTGTCTACATCACATGGAGAAAAGTGGGAGATGTGTAGATCAGAACTGCATCACGATAGGTATGCAGGTTTTTAAGGTATTTATGGGCAATAAAAACACCTGAAATGGATTAACTATAAAATGAAGGTTAATGCTATAGTGTGGAACATGAAAAGCAGTAACATCTCCATGAACGGCTGACAGGTCCACATTAGACCTTTAATGCTTGTGCAACTCTACTCTTTACTTCTATTAGAGTATTATGTTTTTTACTACCTTTTTGCATGTTTTTACTTACATTGTTTGTTTGTCTATTTTAGGTTAAAATGTTGTACATATTTTTAATTATTCTATTCCCATTTAAACCTGAATCAAAGAGAAACAGAAGCCTAATTTGAAATAATATACTGAAGAACTAAATAGACTAACTAAATATCTGAGTAAATATGAGATAAAATATGTGTGAACTCTGAACAAGCTGGAGCCCAAATTGATTGTCATAAGATGGCTCCAGTACCGTTGTACATTTTTGAATTTCAGTTTGTGACATTTGCATGATGCATGTCAGATGTTTTTGAATGGTGATGCTTTGTGGGAAAATGCAGACTTTCTTAATCCACTTACCACTTTTCATAAATCATAAATGGTTGCCAGAGCTTTACAAGTAAGGGGTGCTCTTCTTTTAATAGATTTAAAGGAATTGGTCATGGAAAAGTGAGAATCAGTATCTATCCACATATGTACAATACAAGACAGACCCTTAATAAACATGTTGTTCACCATCTATCATACACATCATGTGTGGAGGCTGAACACCTACAGCCTCAGCACATGTTCTTGGGGTGAGGCTCATTACTCATGTAATTCTCTTTGGTGTTGCTTCTGCAGATGGCCTCACTCCTCTGGACTGTGCTTCTGTCCACACTGCTGTCTGCTCAAACCTGTAAAGCTGTGGATGAGACGGAGCTGGGGGGACTTGTGGCCAACCTACTTAATGTGTAAGAAAAATAATGTTTATTTTTAAAATTAAAATCAATACATGTATCTAGCAATATATTTTTTGTTTTGTTTTTCAAGATCATTATTAACAATCACTATTTCTTTTTGCAGCTATCGACCAACTTATAAGGTTCATGGGTATGTCTCAGCTGTATATAAAATCAGGCTGATATTCATCATTTAGAATTTAAAGTAATTTAGAATTTAAAATCAGACGATCAGTATCGTTCTAATTAAAGGTGTTTTATAATGTTTTTTATAGTGACACTCCCACGTTTACTTTGGCTGTGAGTATCCCGTACAACCCAGCAACCAGAAGCTATGACTTGAGCCAAGTGACTGCAGTGGACGATGGCCAAACCGTGAAAAACTCCCTGGACAACTGTGAGGTGTATGTGGGCAACAGAGTGATCGGGGCCATGGTCCGCAAATGGCCTGATGTCATACAACAGTGTCCCAATGCAGTTGTACCTACAGAGTGGTCATTTCTGAGAGACGTGTGTCCAAATTTTCCCTTGGGACTTGGGACTTGGGACAATTTAAGACAGCTGTGCACAAACAGCGTGAACAAAAAAATAGCCAAGTCGCCAAATGGTGCAGTAGATCATGCCGAGTATCTTGTGTTGCAGAGTTTTAACCATTTTGTCAATAAGCTTAACAATGGGCAGTTGAATCGAAATGACCTGATGCTTTTTTACTCTTACAAGTCCCCATGTGACAGTAGATGTGCTAGTCTTACCAACCATTTCAGAATCGTCCAGTCCATCACAGGCATCAACAGCTGGGCAAACCATGCTCTTGTTTTTTCGAATATCTTTGTGCCGACAAAGACCAAGTTTACCCCAGAACAACTTGAAGCAAACCGTCGCACTGCACTCACCAATCTCGGAAATGCCATACAGGGTGTGGGTAACATATACCGCTGCCGTGTTGGGGCCAATCGTTGCACTAGCTGTGAGGTGCCAACAGGGGTCTCTAATACTTGTGTGAGCGATAATACCCGCAGCAGAAGTACCTCTCCAACTGGAAAGTAATACTGTATGTTACTTCCATATGTAAATTCACATTAAATCAGCAAATTACAAAAGCTCTACTGGTTGTGTTTTTTTCACCATATTATCTGTATGAGTTAGCTACAGATAAGGCAGCGTGAAGACAAAATCAACATACATACATACATACATACAGTTCAATGAGCAAATCATGTCCATAGTTGAGTGTTTAACAAAACACATATCGTGAGAAATTGTAGTATTGTACATTGTCAAGAAACACTTTGGTCTTCTTACAATGAACCAAAAAAATTTGCTAATGATCCTCTTGTGATTCACACAAAAAAACAGACATTGTGTCCATGCATTTCGATGTTATGACCCTATGATTATGATGAGTCTATGCTTTGGTGGAGATTGAGCTTGGATGAACAGGAGAGACTATTATATGCATTCATCATCATACTCTTTGAAGGGGACTTAGCATGTAAAATCTACTTTATCTTTTAACCCTGTTATGTTCCCTCATCATTGGCAAAGTTGTATTTCAATTTTACATGCATGTTTAAGTAATACTGTTTTGTCCTGTAATTGAGGCTTGAGTGCTTTAAAAAGTAATCTTTTAGTGTAGTCATACATGTAGGGTTGGAAAATGTCTTCAATTAAAAACACAAATAAATCAGCTGCTTTCTGCAGTGAAATGCCACTGTGAGGAGGCAGGACATCACGATTCTGTAGTTTTTAACAGTGTCATTTGACCTGTTTCTATTAATAAGATGTTTTAGATCAGTATTGATGTTTACAGTGAACAAATATAAGATCATGGTTTTCATATGTTATAGTTTAATACTAAATACCCACAAAAAACATTAAATGTCTTCCTGAAAGTTATAGAGGTTCACGTGCAATGGTAATCTTTAAAATAATCTCTTGTACAAGAATGGTCACAGTTTAAATTCATTTGCTACTAAATTACATGTAAAAAGCTGCTGCCTTAGTTGAGAAGATGCTGTTTTTCTTAGTTATCATATATAGTTTAGAGTCAAATACAACTTTATTTATTTATTTTTAATTAGAAATGTAGATAATTAAAAATAATTAATAATTACAAATAATTAAAACAATGTTACAACCCTATGATTATGGTGATTCTATGCCTTTATTTTATTCAAACAAACTTTAATTAATTTTAATACGCTAATTAACTTTCTGATTAAAAGATTGTAGATAGAATTTACCTCTGGGAGACAATCTCTCTTTGTTGCTGAAATATCTACGTATATTTATTATGTTTATTATGTTTATTTGAAACGTAGGCCACAAACACAAACAGAGCTTCATTACTAGACGAGAGGAGCTTTTTATATAGAAAAAACATAAAAAACTCAAAAGCTGCTCAAACTACTGTCAAACGATAGGTATAAGCTCTAAACACAGTTACACTTAAAAAAAATATACACAAGGATACACACCTAAGGGGCTACACATTTTCAAGTACGATATAGTAGACAATAAACACTAAGACTGAAACTAATTTATGCCACTGAGACAACAGCAGGTTTATCCCTAAAAACTATTACAAAAAGTTACAAAAACACAAACTGCAATAAATAAAAACACAGGCTGATCAGCTGTAAGGTCTCACTCTGTCTGCTCGCTAGTGAAGTGAGATGATGCTTCCTTGCAAATGTTTTCTTGCAGACTGAACAGCTGAAAGGTTTCTCCCCTGTTTGTGTTCTGATATGTGTTTTGAGATCAAAAACTATCAGCAAACACTTTCTTACAGACTGAAGAGCTGAATTCCTCTCCTGTGTCTTTGTAGTTTATATTTAGACCAAAATGGTAAGTACTGATTCATTATTACCACATTACTTTACAGAAAATAATACTTATTTCTTTTCTTTTGAGCTTCCAACATCAGGCAGGTGTGATCCTGCAGAAAGAGAGGAGGAGGGGAAAACACTGAAGGCAACAAAAGCAAAGAATATATAGTACAGGGAATTTTTTGTTTATAGTCCTGAATTATTGACGTACATTTACTTGTCTTTTTCTCTTACAGTGAGATGGAACTTTACAGTGGGGGCTGTGGAGTGGAGGAGTGGAGGAAGGAGGCTTATATCCATGTTGTCATATAAAATACAGGTACACTTAAGAGTTCTATGCATTGTATTTGTCCCTCCTCCAAGTATATTGAATATTTGTGTTTTTTGCACAAGGTCCAGACTGGGTCAGGAGGGAGGCTGATGTCCTGAGGTGGGACTGCTGTGTGACTAACTCACAACAGGTAAGCTTTTTATATTTATAGTATAAATTATTGAAGTACTAGTATTTATTTTTGTGTTTTTCTTCCAGTGAGATAGAACTGTGGAGAGGAGGAGTGGAGGAAGGAGGCTTATATCCATGTATCTTATATCCAGGGACAGAAATGGAAGGCCACTGCCAAACATGTCAGTGATATTCATGCTTTATCGGTGCCTCTGTCTTGTACGCGATTCAGCTGTGATAATCTCAGAGTGACCCTGCACCCCATTTCGGCCTTTATTCCAAAACTGGTTTGACGCCTGTACCTAAGTGGATGTGGACACTTTTCAGCCTCCTTCACACACTTCTGCTGAGTAACAGCGTTCGCACAGCTTGTACCCTGTCCGAGCGGCGCATGGCATCCGTTACCAACACTGTAATGCTACATAACACTGTGAACACAAGGCCCTGGGAAACCTGAACATTTTCCTTAAACACCATAATGTAAGTACTGTAATGCACTGTTCTTACACACAACTCATTGTTAAGTGCATTCATGGTGGACAACAAAATGTATTCTATTTAATTGTCTTCTGGTCTGCTGTCTTCTTAGATTCAGGAGTAGAACCACTGCTCAACCTCCCCCTGCTCCTCTCCAGCAAACCAAGCTCAGCTCAACCACACCTTCAGTTACCCAAAAGCCCTACAGGCCTATCCCAACAACATCCTCTGTCTCTGCTCTCTCAACCCCCTCCCACCCACCCCGTACCTCTCATTCATCCTTCAGCCTGAAGACCTCATCGTCTACAAAGGGTGGGTCTTGAATTGGTCTGACTGACCACCTGAGACAGAGCCCCCATCCAGAGTCTCCTCCCAGCCATCACATCTCGCCATCGTCAATAAATATCTTTAATGTATTCCACTGTTGTGGCGTGGTATAACATGTCCACGTGAAATATCGACCCATATCAGCAAACATATAGACCGATAGCCGAAATGGGTCCATGTGCCCATATCGGCCGATAATATCGGCCAAACCGATATATTGGTCGGGCTCTTATAATAAAAAAAAAATTATAATAATTTCATTATTTCATTTTTGCACATTGTCATTGTCATTTTCATTGTCATTGTCAGACCACATGTTTAAAGGAAAGAAAAGGTATGTTTGGCAATAAATTTGCAAAAGCAGAAGTCTCAGCATGAGTCAGATGTTTGATGTTCAGATATCGGTTATCTTTGTTGTTCTGCTGACATGAACTTGTGATTTTTATTTCCCTTTTTTGCATCTGTGAACTAAAGAGGCAACACTGAAAAAAAAAAGTTGCTGGATTTGCGTAAAAAAGTTATGGACAAGGCAAGGCAAGGCAAGTTTATTTGTATAGCACAATTCGTACACAAAGTAATTCAAAGTGCTTTACAGAATAAGAAATACATTAAAATCATAATAAAAACAAATCAAAACATAAATAATCATGAAGATTAAAATTAAAAAAGAGAGACATAAATTGGAGAGAAGAGTGCGGAATGAAAACCTTTCAGTTATATGCACAGTTAAACAGAAATGTTTTGAGTCTGGATTTAAACAGCGTCACAGAAGAGGCCTGCCTCACATGTTCAGGAAGACTGTTCCAGGTTTTAGCTGCATGAACCTGAAACGCTGACTCCCCTTGTTTAGTTCTGACTCTGGGCACCAGCAGGAGGCCGGTCCCTGAGGTCCTCAGAGTGCGAGATGGTTCATATGACACTAACATGTCACAGATGTACTTTGGTGCTCGGCCATGGAGAGACTTGTACACAAGCAGAGCTGCTTTAAAGTCTATTCTCTGAGGCACAGGAAGCCAGTGCAGAGACCTGAGCACAGGACTTATGTGCTCGTACTTCCTAGTTCGAGTAAGGACCCGAGCTGCAGCGTTCTGGATGTTCTGCAGCGTCTCACAGCTCGTTTGGAGAGACCAGTGAGCAGACCATTACAGTAGTCTAACCTACTGGAGACAAATGCATGGATAAGTTTCTCCAAGTCTGATTTAGACAGTAAACCTTTGATTTTTGCTATGTTTTTTAGATGGTAAAAGGCTGCAGATGTTATTGATTTTATGTGACTGTTAAAGTTCAAGTCTGAGTCCATTATTACCCCTAGATTTCTTGCCTGATTTGAAGGTTTTAGAGCGAGAGACTGGAGGTGACTGCTGACACTGTCCCTTTGACAGCGGTTGCACGCAATAAAATTATGTTTAGGCTTTGAAACTTTTTTCGAACCCCTCTACACATATTTTTCTCGGAACATGAACAACACTTTTTCATGTTGATGAAATTTGAATAAATCATGCTGAATATGCATATTTATCTTATGGTACCTTATCATGAAATGTATAAGTATGTATAATTTAATTTAATTGATCTAATTCTGTAAAAGAATACAAAAACAGTCTTTAGTTTTCTACAGATCTGTATTGTCTTAAACAGAATCAAACACAAAGAGAGCACAGGGACAGAGATACAGTTTGGAGCTGGACAGTGTGTGAAGATTTATTCCAGTGAAGACACGCTCTGGTCTCTGCCTGTGGACACAGAATAACACATGATGATCACATTCTGATGATCTACTCTGTTGTACATGTTTAAATACACTTATAGCAATTATTACTACAATAATGGACCAGAACAGAATCACAAGAACATTAGAACTGTATCTGCAGAAACAAAACTCACCATGTGCTGCTTTTCTTCCTCTAAACACAGTAACAGGGAGGGCATCTGGTATAAAGTCTCCTAGTGCCACATCACCTTGTACAAGTACGATAACAGTTTCAATAGGAAGTTCATTTTGAAAAATTTTTAAATAATTTTAGTT